GTTTTGCATCCTGGCCATTACTGTCCATTATGTCTAACCTCTCTCCTGGCAAATCAAAGAGTAAAAGCAGAGTGGCTCTGGAGAGGCTAATGAACCCTGGGCAGGAACAGCAGATTCACCCAACTGTGGGTTTTTTTGATAGAATAATGTAATTAGAGGATGGGCAGCATGCGATAGATCAGGGGTGGGCAAACTTTTTGGGCCGAGGGCCACATCTGGGTGGGGAAATTGTATGCAGGGCCGGGGCAGGGGGCTGGAGTGTGGGAGGGGGTGCGGTGTGCAGGAAGGGGCTCAGGGCAAGGGATTGGAGCAGAGGAGGGGTGCGGGGTGTATGAGGGGACTCAGGGAAGGGGTTGGGGTGCACAGGGGTGCAGAGTGCAGCAGGGAGCACAGAGCAGTGGGTTGGGGTTGCAGGAAGGGTGCAGGGTGTATGAGGGGGCTCAGGGAAGGGGGTTGGAGTGCAGGAGGGGTGCGGAGTGCAGGAGGGGGCTGAGGGCAGGGGTGCAGGAGGGGTGCGGACTGTGAGAGGGGGCTCAGTGCAGGCATTTGGGGTGCACAGGGGTGCAGGGTGCAGCAGGGAGCTCAGGGCAGGGGGTTGGGGTGCAGGAGGGGCGCGGAGTGTATGATGGGGCTCAGGACAGGGAGTTGGGGTGTGAGGTGCAGGCAGGGGGCTCAGGGCAGGAGGTTGGGGGGCGGGGTGCAGGAGACATTCAGGCTCTGGTCCGGCGCCGCTTACCTAAAGCGGCTCCGGGATGGCAGCGGTGCGCACTGAAGCCAGGGCAGGCTCCCTGCCTGCCGGTTCCAGCCCCAGCCCCAGCTCCAGCCCCAGTCCCGGCCCTGCACCGCTCCAGGAAGCTCTGCGGCCCCTATGAGGGGGAGAGAGGTGGAGGGCTCTGCATGCGCTGCCCTTGCTGTGCCTCCAGGTACCTCCCCTGAAGCTCCCATTGGCTGCGGTTCCCCATTCCCGGCCAACAGAAGCTGCGGGGGGGGCAGTGCCTGGAGGCAAGGGCAATGCATGGAGCCCTCTGCCTCCCCGCCTGAGGGCCGCTTCTGAGAGCAGTGCGGGGCCTGGGGCACCACGGGGGGCAATCTCGCGGGCCGGATCCAAAGCCTTGAGGGGCCGGATCCGGCCCGCGGGCTGTACTTTGCCCACTCCTGCGATAGATGTAACGTGCTTGAATTTCTCCAACAAATTTACAACTATCAAAGTGATGTTGTCCATTGACTTCAATGGGCTTTGAAGCAAGTTCTGGGTGTATTCAGAATGTAATTTGCTTAAGGCAGAGACTTGTGTGATGTAATTATTAACAAGAAAATACGGGCTTTGGTAATACAAATAATGTCATATTCATCTGTGAATAGGCCAGAATCCTTGGCATAATTTAGACCTAAACCTTCAACACACATCACATTACAGAGGCTGCTTCTGAATTTCACAGAAGACTGACACTGAGTAACAGCAACATTTCCTAGCTTCGGGTGACCACATGTCCCGATTTTATAGTGACAGTCCCAATTTTGGGGTCTTTTTCTTATATAGGCTCCTATTACCCCCCACCCCCATCCCGATTTTTCACATTTGCTGTCTGGTTACCCTATCCTAGCTAAACTGACCACAAACTCTTGCTAAGATGGAAAATAACTTCCTCCTTTCTCTTTTTTTCTTCTATATTATATGCTTTATGCCTAGAAGTTAATGACACAGATACAGTACATCAAACTCTTACCTGAGATGGCAGTTTAATGTATAATGTATAATTGTGCGGGAGAAGAGAGAGACAAAAGTTGCCAGTGAAATGTAAGAAACTATATAGAAATTTGAAAGCTATGCTGAGGATTCTTGCCATTTGAGAAGGTTTCATTACCAAGGAGACTTGACTTCGCAGAATACTGCAAACCTTAAGGACAATGATGTCTAATTTAAATACTATTGTGATAAAAATAATACATACTTATGTATAGCTGCTATTGAATAAACAGATAGCAACGGCTTGCCTTTATATTGGGGATGGTGATAGGCTCAGTTGATATGTTGAGAGGCCAATGAAAAGTGAAAATCGTTAAGGTGAATCCAACTGAAATGTAATAAGTTCTAAGCAATCACAAGACCGGCTCAACTGTTTGTAGCCAATTGCAGAAAAGGCCACTGAACATATCAGGGGAACCTACAAACAAGGCCTAGTGTAAGAACCTGTAGGACTAGAACATGGGACCACAAGGGTGCTGGACTGTTGATGCTGCTGTATCACTAGTGGAAGCTTCAGGTAGGTTTTCACTGGAGGATCCTAAGAAGCTAGGCGCTATAGGAAGTTACTGCCCTGCCAGGCCTGAGTGGCAGCCCCCCATGACTCTCTGATTGGCTGAACCAGGAAGCCATCATGGGGAGCTGTCTAAGCAATGATGCAGACTGCTCCAGATTTTGCCTTGCTGTGGACCCTAGACTCCATCTTCTGACCCTGCAACTTGTCCAGTGTATATAACCTGGTGCCTGACCCTGACTCCCTGGTATCTGACCCAGTTCAACTCCAGCTCCACTAGTTGCCTGATATCTTTAACCTGTTACCTGATCCTGACTTCCTGGTGTCCTGATCTGGCTTGACCCCGCCTCTGCTGCTTGTCTCCTGACCACAACTTGGTAACTATTGATGCACCATGCAGGCTGCCCATGGTCCTGAAATGTAGGGAATAACCAGGTGCCAGCTGAGAGGAATATACAGCTTTCTTGTCTTACTACTCCATTAATCGTTACCCACATTATTGGTGGTTAATGATGCGAATGAGTCAAATGACTGTATTGTTGCCTGGTGAGCTATGAAACAAGGACACAATTGTCAGGCAATGTGAAAAGACTTCACAAAGTTTCACTCCTAACTTCTCAAAGGGCATTTCTGCAGACAACTCAAAGCACTGACAGAGAAACCGCCACTTGAGGAAGGACACAGAGTTGTGTCAAGTTTGCCAAGAACCGCACCACAGGGAGGCCTACAAAAGAGCCCTCTGGAAGTTGGTTACTGATCAGTTCCAAACCAACTGGTGTTCATTGCATGGACCAAGACAATTTGCACAACCTAACGTGTCTTACATAAACTGGGATGGCACAAGATGTGTTGCAGGAAGACCACAGAATTTTCCAGAGACAAACTTGCAAAAACTCAATAAACATGCCTCTTTTTGTCCTTATATGATGAGAAGGGACAACTCGTATTCTAGTTGGACATTTCTAATCTTTGACAGAAGCCTGGGCCATTTTCTGATTGGCCTTTATCAACTTTCCCCAGAAGACAAACCAAACCATGACACCCTTCAGCAACTGTATAAAACAGCCTGTTTTGATCAAACCATCACTCCCTGAAGCTGAAACATCTGGATCCAAGAGACAACAAAGGAGACCTTCACTGCCTGGCCAGTGACAGCTCCACAGACCTGGTAAGAACTAAAGTCTCTTCAATGACAATCACTTCATAATTCTGTCCTTTAAAGTCCTCACTGGGGAGACAGCTGTGAACAAAAACAAGAACACAGTTGTCACAATACCCTGCGTGTACTGCCTCAATTAACTTTCTATCTAGCTGGAGAAACCAGTCATTGCTACTGTGAAGCTGAGCTGGAGAACATGAGTTTCCATTGTTATGTACCAAAAATTCATGTATTTTTTTACCCAAATGAAAACATGGTAACTTTAAAGCTAAATGCTTCTCAGAAAGTAGGTATCTAAGTTAAAATCCCATAAATGACTGAAATGTATAAAGCTACTATTATTATAGCAGTTCACTATCAACTTTAAACTTAGGGTACATCTACACTACAGCGGGGAGTCGATTTAAGATACGCAAATTCAGCTACGTGAATAGCGTAGCTGAATTCGACGTATTGCAGCCGACTTACCCCGTTGTGAGGACGGCGGCAAAATCTACTTCTGCGGCTTTTTGTCGGCGGCGCTTACTACCACCTCCGCTGGTGGAGTTAGAGCGCCGATTCGGGGATCGATTGTCGCGTCCCGACGGGACGCGATAAATCGATCCCCGAGAGGTCGATTTCTACCCGCCGATTCAGGCGGGTAGTATAGACCAGACCTTAGTTGGATAGAAATTATGGTAAATCGATAGTGATTAAGAGTACTGAGGGTTCACCAACTTATTAAATTAACTAATTCTAGTATTCTATCAATTAGGAAAGCATGCTTGGTTTTCTTAAATGTAACTGCTTCTCAGAAAGAACTTGCCAGAGTCAGCGTCATCAACTCCAAACATTAAAAAATCATGAGATGGGCTTAAATCATGAGATTTTTAAAAATGACAACTTTGGGGTATATTTTATTTGCCTTCTGGTTTCTGAACATTTAAAGTGCACTTGTTTCACGTTTTCTAGCTTATCTTTCCAACCAGGAGGGCAAGAATGCTACTCTTGTTTAAAATGAAAGCTAGGGTTCTCTTGCATTTCTTCACCCCAGGAGCCAGGAATCTAGAATAAAATCATAGGGGATGGCCACTCTGCTGAATTAAAACCCTGTAAATTAATAAAATGCATAATTTAAACTTGCATTTCACTAACAAGTTTAATCTTAGTTGTCTAGAAATGTTGGTAAATCAACACATGATTAAGACTATTGAGGCTGGTTACACTTTCTGTTCAAAGCCTAATACTATTTGTAACAGGAAACTGTGCAAAAGATTGCTGAAAGGAACCCTAAGTGTTTCGGGGTTTACTCTATAAATCAGACCCTTTGTGGTCAGCAGAAATTGACAGCCTCCTATTCAAAAAGAGGAAGAATCTTTGACGTATCTTTTAAGCTAAAGATTTTTAGCAGTATGTGAATATTTAAAGTGGGAAAAGAACCTGCAATACTGGTAAAATTCCAGACCAATTAGAATAGCTTAAATCATTACCTAAGTATTTTATTTCAGGTTCAAAGTCTGATAATTAATTCTATTGACCTCCTTAATCATTAAGTAACTTGTCCAAATTTCTAAATCTAATGTTGGAGCTGTGGAGTTGAATACCACAGGTAGTTCTATAATTTCACTGGCAAACATGTTTCATTAGAAATTGATAAAAATCTGCATTTATAGATCCATGTTCATACTAAAGTCACCAACCAAATATACTGTAAAACTAAGATAAAGTTTGCTGTATAAGGAGACTGTGAGAAGAATTACATGAATTGATTTGATTCATTACCTGCCTTCTTGATACATTGGCACATATCAGGTTGAATTCATTCTAGCAGATTTCATAAACACGATTATTTAACCATCTTTATTTTGCTTTCTGTAATCTAATTGCTTTCCATTCTATTTTGGCTAATAAAACTAATCAATGTGCAATATTTCAGGCTGTATTTTGGGTAAAGAATAGTGATCCACACACCTCTGAGATGCCTGATGTGAGTAAGAGGCGAATTAAGATTGCTCACCCAACTTGTGTTTTAAAATGTATCTTTCCTCAAACGACTCTATTCCTCTGAAATGTTCCCGCACCTCTGGTGCTATACAGATAATAAATATTACTAACAAATTGCAGCACACATGTTATGCCATTTAACTATAGACAATATTTCTATAGCTCAGCATTTCGCAATCTCCAGCACCAAATAAATACAGTGACTCTCCATCTCCTGTCAGTCTCTTCTTCTAGTGACATTGAGTTCCCGGCCAAAGGTCAGCCATGAAGATCCTTTACCTTCTCTTTGCTGTTCTGTTGGTGCTCCAAGTTGCTCCTGGTAAGATCTCAGTGAAATCAAGGATAATATAGAGGGGTGTTGGCAAATCTAGACTAAGGTTGCCTAGAACTTTGCATTGTAACTTTTTTGCAAGTCTTTTTCTGAAGAGCGCTAATGGATACCTAGGTTGCAACAGACACTGGAAATGTGGCAGGGGAATTGTACTGGAGTCAAGGAGTTATCTTTGTTGTGATCATGAAAGTCCATTTAGATCTGGCTGAATTCTGACCTGTTGAAAAATCCTCAGTTCCTGTCTGTGATTTTCTAGCAGATGTTGCTAGAAGCTTGCTGCTAAATATCCCCAAAACTGTATCTACCTTGAACATGCTCTATCATGCTATTGCATGATGCACAGAACTCAACATGCAGATGGAGAAAGAGAAAATGAAATCCTCTTCCTCTGACCTACTATGATGGAAAGGCCCCTTTTTGGTGAAGGGGCTGGTGCTTTGGGCTGTAGAACATAGTCTGAAGTTCTGCTGACTAGCACTAATCGTTCAGTGCCTTTACAACTCCTATAATTAAGGAAGGCCTCATGCCCCATAGAGAGATTGTACAAATGAGAAAACAGCCCAGATCTCTAATATGGCAGATCTTTGTCTTACCCACACCGTCTCTCAGAAACAATTTGCCACACCCATGTGGTTGGCTTGATTTCTGGAAATGACATCATGTGGTGGTGAGACAGAACATACAGAAATGCCGATGCATCAGTGTAGGTCTTGGATTTATATCTGTTGGTTGTGAATAGTTTTGAGAAAGCACAGCTACCTCCAGTTAAATATTTTAACCCAGGTATCCTAAAGGCTGAGGCTATCGAAATTGTGTCCACCTTTTCAACAGGACTGGGCTGTGTGGTAAATGTAAAACTGGCAATTGGTCATGAAGAAACTATTCCCAAGTGCTGAGTTTTCATAAACATGTCTGCGCCGAGTCTCTCAGACAGGCATTCGATCCAGAAAGAACTTGAACAAACCCTTCTGTTTCTAAACGGTGCAGCCATCCATCCTAGTGCTGAACTGGTTCAACCCTACTCAGTCCCTTAGCATTTACCATAATTTCCCTGGTGCATCGCTCTGAGGAGCCATCAAGAATCAGAACCTGAGCAACAGCCCGTAGCAAAAGTCTGGTACAGGCATCTGCCAGAATGTCATCCCTTAAATATGTGGCGCAGTGAAGGACACCTGTGCTCTTAGGTAGTTCTTAAATATATCCAGCGAGCTAGAGCCCCATTTAATGAATGTGCTCTGCCCTCTGATTAGAGGCTGCTACTGGATGTACCCAACACTACAACCATGTCTGTAGCATTAAAGCTGTGGTAAAATTGTGCCCTGGATGATATTAATGGTGTTGATTTGGGCAGCCTTCAGTGACGGTGAAACCCAGTCAAGGGGGAATGCCTGCCATGCTAAAATAACAGCCCCTTATTCATGCTGCTCTGCTGACTTATAATTAAGACTCATTTTTTGTGTAGGACTGGCAAAGCATAGTTGGACCCCATCGCAATGTAGACGCTTTGGGGGTGACTGCCATGCGGCCTGTCCCCGCTGTACTACACCATTTGGAAGGTGTGTCACAGGGGGCTTCTGCTGCTTAGGGTAAGGTTATGATTCCACAGCAGAGACATTACTGTATTAACAGAAATGTGTGTTCCTCTCCTTTCTATATCCAAACTGTTGTTTAATGCTCTTGGGGATGCAGTACACCTGGCAGAGCCCAGAGGCAGCAGGCAAAGGATACGCCTCGGGTACCTAGAACCTGGGATGCATTGGAGTTGGAGTGTCCTCAGCATGCTGGCTGTTCTTATTCCTGCTTTACCCAGTCTGCTTATGCCTATCTCCAGAACCGTCCAGAATCTCCATAGTGTTCCATGGTATAGGGATTGCACCTCTGAGACCTGACAACTCCCAGAACCATCTCTAGCACTTCCTGTACATCAGTGCTTGCAAGACGGGCCGCATAGAGACAGTTACACAACTCTGTGCTCCTCATGCATGGATGTAACTCTTCTGCAGCCAGGTGTGCTGTTTTTACACCCCTACACACTGGTGGAACAGCATGTACAAACAGTCTCAGTGTATAAATGGTATGTGTTCCCTATTCCAAAATGGAAGAACAAGGAAGAACCAAAACAAAGTCCCCAGGAGAGAGAGCAGGATATCAGTCTACTGCTCTGTATTGGTCTACAGTAACTCTGAGTCCAAAATGGCTGCTCTGTGCAAACAGGTACCATCTTTAGAACTTTACAGCTGTAGTACGCACAAAAGAGAAGCCTCAGAGTTTTGATCTTAGTTACACCTCGGGGGGGGGGGTAGA